TTTAGATTGCAGATATATTTACAATATTTCTAGGAAAAATGGGTTGGAACAGTAATACAGAGAGATTCAGATACAGTTCTATCAAGACAGACAGACGACAGACAGACAGACAGACAGACAGACAGACAGACAGACAGACAGACAGACAGACAGACAGACAGAGAGACAGAGAGACAGACAGACAGACAGACAGAGAGACAGACAGACAGACAGACAGACAGACAGACAGACAGACAGACAGACAGACAGACAGACAGACAGACAGACAGACAGACAGACAGACTTACCGATGGACAGAGACAGAAAGACAGACAGACAGACGGATGGATAGACAGACAGGCGAGATAATAGACAGACAGGTATGTAGATAAGATGACAGACAGACAGACAGACAGACAGACAGACAGACAGACAGACAGACAGACAGACAGACAGACAGACAGACAGACAGACAGACAGACAGACAGACAGACAGGCAGGCAGGCAGGCAGGCAGGCAGGCAGACAGGCAGACAGACAGACAGACAGACAGACAGACAGACAGACAGACAGACAGACAGACAGACAGATAGATAGATAGATAGATAGATAGATAGATAGATAGATAGATAGATAGATAGATAGATAGATAGATAGATAGATAGATAGATAGATAGATAGATAGATAGATAGATAGATAGATAGATAGATAGATAGATAGATAGATAGATAATGTATGCTGGCGTCATAGCAACCCCAACAGTAAACAAGGAAACACAAAAGATATTACACCTACCGCTAAATGCCGGTCGCCGTAGAAACAAACAAAACAAAATGTCTCAGCACAAAAATATTCAATGTTTACATCTAGTATTCCATAACTATTCCTGTATGAGTTCCAGGGTCTAATTGTGGGGATAACAAGAATAAACCCACTGCCTCCTCTACAAGCATGTCGTAAGAGTCAGCTAACTAGGGGCTTCCTTCGAAGTTGGAGTGCATCGGTCTCAGAGACAAGGGAAAAAAAACGGCATATAAATAAGTCAGATCTGTAAAACAGGTGTGCACGCAACACGCAGGTTCTGGAACCAGAGTAAAGTCCAGAGGTGGACGAGCAGTCAGAACTTTCCGCCGGAGTGTACAGCTGGTAAACGCAAAAACGAAGAAGAAGTATTCCATGTCTGTACTGGAGAACGAAACGACGGACAAACGAACGTTTTTTTTTTTTTAAAGAGTCAGAGCAAACATACAGGCGCACATACCTTCTCGAATGTGAGATTAAATCGTCCTCGGGGTATCAATCCGACTTAATGATCCGAACAGCCAGGAAGCATGTATGTTTGTGGTCTCAACTCAAGCCGTTGCTAACACACGCATCTAATCAATGGGAAAACATACAGTTTCACCTCCAGCAAGACGCCACACGACGTGTGCCAGCCCGCCCGTTTATCCCGCGCGGGTCAGTATAAAAAGTACCGGCGCTGCCTCTCTCCCTTCTACCACCGTGAGAAATTACAATTCCGACAGTCACTTACTAGCTGCTCACCCAGAAGCTTGCGAGGCTCTGCGACTCACACGGCGAGCTCCGCTGCTCGGGAAGAATCAGAATTCGTGCTCACGTTTTCCCCAGGCAAGATCGATCTGAAGAAGTAACTCAACGAGTGCGGGCTGAATGCCGCAGAAATGGCTGCGGTTGGAAGAACAAATCAGGAAGGCGGAATTACCTGAGACTTGGATAACGACCGGAAACAAGGAAGTGATACGAGCCTTAATGCGTCTTCGGAATACAGGCAGAAAGTAATGGTGATACTAGAAAGAGGGTTGTTTTACACATATTAGTTCAATATATAATAAGGATAATACTGTCTACTTTACTAGGGGCGACGGAAGCAGCAGGCCTAGTCACGTGGAGCACACCATCCACTCAGAAATGTTGTGACTGACTCAGTTCCCCGCACCGCTTAATCACGTATACAAGCCGACATTGCACACACAATACTGCTTAAGTATACGCCATTCCAAACACAATAAACCACCCGCCATTTGTTGTGCAGTTCACAACACAAGCTATCGGGGGCACGAAAGAAAAAAATCCGCACGAAATCAACGGCTCACAGTGTAGCAATGAGCACTTATCTCAATAAAGGGGCTTTCGCAACCGAGTTTTGGCATCAACAGTGAGGTGCAGTTTTGGTGTGGGACTTAGAGTCTGGCACATCTGACAACTACCTTATGCATTTACTTTGCGAGTGCGAGTTTTAAGATTGTGCTGGGACTGACAAATCTTGCACTCATTTTCAAACGAGACAGTGAAGGATATTTTGTGTGATTTCCACTGGCACAGGATGGAGCAGTTATTGGGCAACCCCTTCCCTTTCTATCCGAACCTTAGAAAATCTGTAAAAGTCTATGTGTCGGTCCCAGGTACTTTACCATGTTGTCTATCAGTCAGTTCTTCAGCTATCCTCTCTTTTATTTCTCCATATTCTTCTTCGTTCACAAGCTGTGAATTCCGGTGGAAGGTCCCAGTAGTTCGTCCATTTGGACTTTTGGCTTTTACCTGTACCTGTTTTGCATGTACAGCCGTTTTACTGACTTTACGAGCAGATTTACTCCGTCTTCGAGGGAATTTCTTTTATTTAATCCTTCTATGTCATATGTATTTTGCTTTCACTAGTACACCCTAAGTGAATTTTATGCTGGCCTTTTCTGTCTTAAGTTTATTTTATTTAAACAGTTTCTACTGAAGTTTTTTTTTTCTTCCAACATTTATCCCTGAAGTATTTCTTTCAGTCTTTGAATCTTTCTTTCTTAAGCAGACTATGTGGTTATCTTAACAATTTACAATCACAGCAGACCGTAATGTTTTGTCTAGAATACACGAACATTTCAGAAAGAGATTTGATTGGTAAGTTCCATAAGTTTACACGTCATTCACATGAATAAACAGATGGGAACCATTTAAGCCATATTATACATATAATTAACATAAAAACAATGTATTGTTGGGCACTCATAGAAAGCAGTAGAAAGACAGAAGGACACACTAGACAACATAAAAATCGAAAGCGATAGTTACCGTGTCGGGAATTGAACCTGTCACCTCCAGACGGCATATGCGCCTCGCTATGGAGAACATGTTCACAGTGTGCCATTTTGTAGATTTTTCACAGGTAAGAGCCCCTGTCCTCAATCCTTCCGGGCCCGTAATGGGCTAACAAGCCGGGACCTTCGGATTCACGGGGAATTCAACTTTAGTTTCATGATGAATTCAAGAAAGAGTAGTCCTTATCATTTGTGATGGTCGAACAACAGAACAAAGTAGGATTTTAAAGTTGCTGACGACCCCCCACCCCCCCCCCCCCCCCCTAAAAAAAAAAAGATATTAAACTTCGAATCCAGATCTACTGCCTGAGAGCCAAGTCTACATTTTGTTCATGTATTTAAAGGGACTATACTATAATAATAAAAACAAATAAAACATAAGGGTAGTTTCCCCTACCACAAATGGCAGCGCCCATTTCACGAAAACGAAAGTGAAGTGCCCTCTGACAAGTTGAGTTATATCAAGAACCGACATCACAGCGATTGGGGCGCATTCCTATATGCGCTCCGTCCCCATCTTCAGCAGCCACCATAGACTTCCAGTACCAATATTTATTATTATCTTTGACACAGTATGTGTACTAAATGACTTTCGTTGCCGAAGTAGTAGAGATAGAGTTAGTGTTAGCAGGTGTTTCTTGGAAATATCAGGAAAAAACCTTGATATTATTATACATATTATCACTATTTTTGTCAGGTTTTTTTTTTTTTTTAACAAACCCTCTGGAGACGGAGCCTTTTTTGAGTTTCTATGCCAAGAAGACGGAGCCTTCGGCGTGGGGGGGGGGGGGGGGGGGGGGGGGGGGGGGGGAATTCTCTTAGTTTACACACACAAATATATTTTTAAAAAAATAAGTGTTTAATTAACATATACAAAACAAAACTATACATATTCTTGTATGAAATTGAAAAAACTAACATAATCTTTAGGAAGCACACTGAAATCTCGACATTTATTCAAATTAGCTATCAAATTTGCATACTTAGGCATGTATTTTTTTTAATTACTTAGAACATGCATGACTAAATTGAACAATTTTGCTAAATTTGTTGATGAATGAAGCCTGAATAAGTCCTAACATTTGTGTTTTGGGATTTAAGGCCCAAGTAGGCCCTCCAGACACCTCTGGCACATGGTTCTACTCCTTTTCCTGCCTCCTACTATATTTTGGTTGCTATAACGCAACAGTTCTCCCCCACCCCCACAAAAAAAAATCTATGTAAAATTATAGAATGCAACAAACGTTCACAAAAACCGCCACTGAGCAGCCCACAAGAAATGGAAGACGCAATCTGATTAGTTAGGAGGATCTCAGGGCTTATATTTTGGGGCCTAAAGATCGGACCAGCTGTCTTTTAGGCTGCTTTGCTGTTGGGCTGATAGATCGGCCTTTTTGTCCCCAGAAGGTTAAGTCTTTGAGTCCCAAGGAACGCATTATAAGTTCATAGGTTCCTACCTAGAGGCCCAGTAAATGCTTGATGCACCGATTTGATGACTCTCTTGACTACCCCCTGGGCCTTTAATGTTAAACCCCCTGGGACTCTAAGAGTTAAAGTATACTTTTTTTTTAACTTTACTTTTAAAGTTTCAGACAACTTTGAAGCATATATTCTTTGTTAAAATAAAAACAATATATCAACCTTTTTTTCTAGAAAAAAAAAAAAGCTCTTACTGTTGTTCTCTTTTCTTTCTTCTCAACAGTTCAAGAAAATATGAACTACATTGTACATTTTTCTCTACATTTTTTTTCCATTCTTCCTCTTTTCCTATTTCTTATTTTTTTTTTTTAAAATTCCCCTCATATTCTGAATTGCTAGTTTTTACATATTATTTGTAATTTATACATATTTAAACCTTCATCTAGGTCTGCCATCATCATTTGAATTTGTCAAGAATTTTTTTTTTTGGTTCAAACAATGACATTGATAGAGTATATTTCGACGTTGGGTGACAACCCATACTTTGGAGCAGGAGCGGGTCTCTTCGCTGTTGGAGTGCTTGCAACTGCCGGCCGCAGAGGCCTCCAAGGAGCAACCATTTTGTTTCGCCGTCACTGCATGATAACCATGGAAGTCACCAGCCGAGACAAGAGTTATCAGTGGCTCCTCCAGTGGATCACAAAATATGGGGCTCAAACCCAACACCTTAGCGTTGAAACAGAGTTCCAACAAACTGCTGCAGGTCAGATCAAAACCAAGTTTCATTTTATCCCCAGTCCTGGGAACCACTACTTTTGGCACAAAAATAATTTAATTATCGTCGAACGAAATAGGGATAACAAAATGGTGGAGGTTTTTGAAACAGTCACTCTGACAGCACTTGGTAGAAACCGAGGTATGTTTATGTCAATTTTAGATGAAGCCAGAAAACTTGCTCTACAAAGTACAGATGGACAAACTGTTATGTACACTGCCATGGGTGCAGAATGGCGCCCTCTTGGCTATCCTCGAAGAAAAAGACCGTTGAATTCTGTTATTTTAGACAAAGGACTTTCTGAGCGTATCAGGGATGACGTTCAGGAATTTATTGACAATCCTAAATGGTACATGGAAAGAGGGATTCCATATCGAAGAGGATATCTGTTGTATGGCCCTCCCGGCTGTGGAAAAAGCAGTTTCATTATGGCCCTAGCAGGTAAGGAAGACAGCCTTCATGGTTTATTAAAATCCTACCCCAGATGACGTCAAAGGACATTCCAATATTTTAGAGGGTGGTAAGACTGGGTTTCCTGGCTTTCTAATGCTTTTAACGACTCCAAAACATCTAGAACTGGGCCTAACCCCAACCCACCTATGTCCCATGAGAGAGCGCAGCCTAGGTCCCACAACTGCATGCAGCCTATCTACCACCCCCTGAAATATTAGACCGTCCTGTGACCTGTGGATTTCCCCTGTTTGGGGTAGGATATTAATAAAGCTCCATGGTTTATTTTAAAATCATTCATTGTATAGAGGAAATCACTCACATTATCATTGTATCTACCTACATACCTTTCTACCTACATACCTATCTACCTACATACCTATCTACCTACATACCTATCTACCTACATACCTATCTACCTACATACCTATCTACCTACATACCTATCTACCTACATACCTATATACCTACACGCTTACCTGCTACACACCCAACTATCTATACACCTACCTACCAACCTACCTATCTACCTACATAATACCTACCTACCTTGTTGTCCATCACAAGTGATGAAGACCGCTCTTTCTTTTCTTTGTCATGAAACTAAAGTTGATTATCTGTGGGCCCTGAGGTGACTTATAAGCACAATATGAGCCCGGATGAATCTAGGACAATGAGAGCTGCGAACAGTTTCTGTAGGTAAAGGGCCTTTAGTAAGGGTCTTTCTAGCCTGCCTGTGCTGTTCAGATGCCCTTTTTTTTTTAAAGCCTCGCAGATTGCTGCCCCTCTTCAGATTGATGTTCAACCTACCTACCTATACTGCAGCTAACACAATTTGGATCTGTCTGTCAGACTCTATTTCTCTAGCTACTAGTCTTCTTATCTAGGTCCTTTCTATCAGTCTGTCTGTCAGATTCTATTTCACTGGCTACCAGTCTGCTTATCTAGGTCCTTTTTATCAGTCTGTCTGTCAGATTCTATTTCTCTAGCTGCGTCTGCTTATCTAGGTCCCTTTCTATCAGTCTGTCTGTCATTCTATTTCTCTAGCTACCAGTCTGCTTATCTAGGTCCTTTCTATCAGTCTGTCTGTCAGATTCTATATCTCTAGCTGCCAGTCTGCTTATCTAGGTCCTTTTTATCAGTCTGTCTGTCAGATTCTATTTCACTAGCTACCAGTCTGCTTATCTAGGTCCCTTTCTATCAGTCTGTCTGTCAGTTTGCACGCATATTTGCCCTATGCATTCTTCTTCTTCTCCTGAGTGCTCACCAGCTGTAATCTCCAGCAGAAAGTTCTGGTTGTTCTTGAGCTCCTGGACTTTGGTCTGAATATAGTACTTGAGTTTTGCATGCACATCAGTTTTACACTCTGTTGTGGTTCCTTTCTTCTCAGGCAGATGCACTCGGACTAGTAGTAATATTCTGCAAAAGGAGGATCATGATGAAGGGAACTTACCAGGCCATATCATGATTACCTTGTCTAACACACAAAACCATAACAACAGCATCTGTCTTGGAACTACATTTGCCTTTTAAAAAAAAAAAACAGTTGTTGTGTTGGTATCAAGGACACTGCTCTTTCACATACGCAACAAACTCTGTCAACAGGCTGTACTAAATACAGTGCAAACTGTGACTGAAAATCTCAACAAAGGAACAGAAATCAGGCAGACAGACACAACCAATTGTTTCAACTCAAATCTTTAACAATGGAGTACTAAATACTATACAGATCTGGTTTCTGAGTTTCTTAAAGAAAAGAAAACTACATCCCTGAATAAAATTCCGTGAACAGATGTCATAAGTACAAGGTTGGGAAATAAGTCTCCGGGTTAAGATGATGATGGTGATGTTGATGATGAGAATATTAACTATTTTCATTGGTTCTGTTCTCGTGTACATCACAGGTGATATTGACTACAGTATCTGTGTCCTAAATCTCAGCGACAAGTCCATGTCCGATGACCGTCTGAGCCACTTGTTGACCAATGCACCTGAACAAAGCATCATCCTACTGGAGGACATTGATGCAGCATTCGTGAGCAGGGATCTGGCGAAAGAAAGTAAGCTTGAGGTGTTGAATTGTGCTGTCTGTATCTGTGTGAGGTGCTGTCTGCATCTGTGTGAGGTGGTGTCTGCCTCTTTGTGAGGTGCTGTCTGCTTCTGTGTGAGGTGCTGTCTGCATCTGTGTGAGGTGGTGTCTGCATCTGTGTTAGGTGCTGTCTGCATCTATGTGAGGTGGTGTCTGCATCTATGTGAGGTGGTGTCTGCATCTATGTGAGGTGGTGTCTGCTTCTATGTGAGGTGGTGTCTGCTTCTGTGTGAGGTGCTGTCTGCATCTGTGTGAGGTGGTGTCTGCTTCTGTGTGAGGTGCTGTCTGCATCTATGTGAGGTGGTGTCTGCATCTGTGTGAGGTGGTGTCTGCATCTGTGTGAGGTGGTGTCTGCATCTGTGTGAGGTGGTGTCTGCATCTGTGTGAGGTGGTGTCTGCATCTATGTGAGGTGGTGTCTGCATCTATGTGAGGTGGTGTCTGCATCTGTGTGAGGTGCTGTCTGCATCTATGTGAGGTGATGTCTGCATCTGTGTGAGGTGGGGTCTCTGCTATCTGCATTTTGTTTTACATGCTGTCTGCATGCTATGTGAGGTGTGTCTGTCTCAGTGTAAAGTGCTGTCTGTCTCTGTAGGAAGTGCTGTTTATCTGGTTCTTTGAGAAATGCTCTCTGTGTCTGTGGGAGGTGCTGTCTTTCTCTGTGTGAATTTTGTGTGTCTGTTTGTGAAGTGTTGTGTGTCTGTCTCTGTGTGAAGTGCTGTCTGTCTGTCTCTGTGTGAAGTGCTGTCTGTCTATCTCTGTGTGAAGTGCTGTCTGTCTGTCTCAGTGTGAAGTGCTGTGTATCTGTCTGTGGGTGAAGTGTTGTCTTTCTCTGTGTGAAGTGCTGTCTGTCTGTATGTCTGTCTCTGTGTGAAGTGCTGTCTCTCTGTGTGAAGTGCTGTCTGTCTCTGTGTGAAGTGCTGTCTGTCTCTGTGTGAAGTGCTGCCTGTGTGTGAAGTGTTGTCTTTCTCTGTATTAAGTGCTGTGTATCTGTCTGCCTGTCTGTCTCTGTGTGAAGTGCTCTCTGTCTCTGAAGATATGATTATGTGAATATGTTTCCACAGATCCTGTAGCCTACCAGGGGATGGGCCGACTGACTCTGTCAGGGCTGCTCAATGCACTTGATGGCGTGGCCTCAACAGAGGCCAGGATTCTTTTTATGACCACAAATTATATTGAAAGGTCAGTTTAAGATAGTTCCTTTTAGATTACGGGTTAGTGAATGTGTTTAACACATACAAAATCCTTGAGAACTGTGTTTTGTTCTATGTGGTAAATGGTTTAGTTTAAAATTTAAAAAAAAGTAAAGGTAAGAGATTTAATTTCATTGCACTGGGCTTTATCTCTCTGCAAAACAGCTAGCTGCCTACCATAAGCCTCACACAAAGCACAAGCTCTGTAGCTCCGGTAATGATTCCCCTGAATCTGCGAACAAATTTTACTTTTTAGTGGTGCTGCCGTGAAATGAACCTATGACCTTGACACTTTGCCACAGACACCCCTAAAAAACTTAAAGAATATGTAATTCTTCTCATGGATTTTGGATGACTGTATGAGAATCGTAACATGGAAGAGATGGGGTCTCATCATTACATATTCCTAGAGACAGCATTAGGTACACTTTGGTCAAACTTCAGAGTGGAGACAACAAACAGTTTACTATTTATTTTAGTCTCTTCTAAAATTTTTGAGAAGTTACAGCTTTTTTGGCAAAATTATATCACATCCTGTTATAAAGTTCTTGAGAAGATAGTTTTTCTGATATAATTAAATAACAGCCTGTTCTAATGTGTTTGAGAAGATAGTTTTTCTTACAACATGATATCACATCCTGTTATAAAGTTCTTGAGAAGATAGTTTTTCTGACATAATTAAATCACAGCCTGTTCTAATGTGTTTGAGAAGATAGTTTTTCTTACATCATGATATCACATCCTGTTATAAAGTTCTTGAGAAGATAGATAGTTTTTCTGACATAATTAAATCACAGCCTGTTCTAATGTGTTTGAGAAGATAGTTTTTCTTACATCATGATATCACATCCTGTTATAAAGTTCTTGAGAAGATAGATAGTTTTTCTGACATAATTAAATCACAGCCTGTTCTAATGTGTTTGAGAAGATAGTTTTTCTTACATCATGATATCACATCCTGTTATAAAGTTCTTGAGAAGATAGATAGTTTTTCTGACATAATTAAATCACAGCCTGTTCTAATGTGTTTGAGAAGATAGTTTTTCTTACATCATGATATCACATCCTGTTATAAAGTTCTTGAGAAGATAGATAGTTTTTCTGACATAATTAAATCACAGCCTGTTCTAATGTGTTTGAGAAGATAGTTTTTCTTACAACATTATATCACATCCTGTTATAAAGTTCTTGAGAAGATAGTTCTGAGAGAATGGTGCTTATCCATCTCTTGATCGTTTCTTCCCACTTGTATCGCTGCTCAGCTGAGACTTGCACCCAGACATTGTCTTGGCTAGCAAGCTTGATAGCCACTCTACTACTTCAGCTCCTTAGTATAATACTAATACCACACCCAGCATGAGAATGGAGGTTGAGGCGGAAACTGTAGCATTCCAGTGGGTGGAGAATATTTCAGCCACACATGCTGTCATAGTATTAGATTCGCAAAGCATGCTCAGGAAAATATAGTCAGGTTTTCTTCATATTGGTCACAACAATCCAGAGGTTGTAGGTTCTTCATATTGATCACAACAATCCAGAGGTTGTAGGTTATTCATATTGGCCACAACAATCCAGAGGTTGTAGGTTCTTCATATTGGTCACAACAATCCAGAGGTTGTAGGTTCTTCATATTGGTCACAACAATCCAGAGGTTGTAGGTTCTTCATATTGGTCACAACAATCCAGAGGTTGTAGGTTCTTCATATTGATCACAACAATCCAGAGGTTGTAGGTTCTTCATATTGGTCACAACAATCCAGAGGTTGTAGGTTCTTCATATTGGTCACAACAATCCAGAGGTTGTAGGTTCTTCATATTGATCACAACAATCCAGAGGTTGTAGGTTCTTCATATTGATCACAACAATCCAGAGGTTGTAGGCTGTGAGAATCTAGTGTATATTGTGCCTGGACTGTGTAGGCTTGTTTGGGAACGAGCAGGCAGATAGGTTGGCTGGACTGTGTAGGCTTGTTTGGGAATGAGAAGGCAGATTGGTTGGCTGGACTGTGTAGGCTTGTTTGGGAATGAGCAGGCAGATTGGTTGGCTGGACTGTGTAGGCTTGTTTGGGAACGAGCAGGCAGATAGGTTGGCTGGACTGTGTAGGCTTGTTTGGGAACGAGCAGGCAGATAGGTTGGCTGGACTGTGTAGGCTTGTTTGGGAACGAGCAGGCAGATAGGTTGGCTGGACTGTGTAGGCTTGTTTGGGAACGAGCAGGCAGATAGGTTGGCTGGACTGTGTAGGCTTGTTTGGGAACGAGCAGGCAGATAGGTTGGCTGGACTGTGTAGGCTTGTTTGGGAATGAGAAGGCAGATTGGTTGGCTGGACTGTGTAGGCTTGTTTGGGAATGAGAAGGCAGATTGGTTGGCTGGACTGTGTAGGCTTGTTTGGGAATGAGAAGGCAGATTGGTTGGCTGGACTGTGTAGGCTTGTTTGGGAATGAGAAGTCAGATTGGTTGGCTGGACTGTGTAGGCTTGTTTGGGAATGAGAAGGCAGATTGGTTGGCTGGACTGTGTAGGCTTGTTTGGGAATGAGAAGGCAGATTGGTTGGCTGGACTGTGTAGGCTTGTTTGGGAATGAGAAGGCAGATTGGTTGGCTGGACTGGCCACACTGGGGGGTGTACTGCAACTGCACAAAGCAGGAGTGAACTCTCACCTGTGGGACAAGATAACAAGTAAAATGGAAGTTATTGAAAACCTGTACCTGGAAAGAATGATGCAGCAGGGAGTGTCTGCAGGCTCCAGAACCACTCGGTGTTCAGTCTGTGTTCACTCGGTGTTCACTCGGTGTTCACTCGGTGTTCTGATCATTATCATGATGTCTGCATTTATTTCCCAGAACATTTATATCGATTTTAATCATCATCATCAGTTCTCGTTATGCCTAGTGGCACATGAGGCTTCAGAGAGGACTTTCCATGCTTTCCTGTCCTGTGCAATCTTCATTGCAGTTTTCCATGTCAAAGATGCCGCACTCAGGTCACTTTCCATCGTTCGTCTCCATGTTGTTTTTGGGCACCCCTGTTTTCTCTTTCCCTCTGGTGTCCATGTGAGAGCTGTTTTGACAGGTATATCAGAAGTCATTCTCATAAGGTGGTTAAGCCATTTTAATCTTCTCTTGGTAATCATACTGTCTAAAGTTTCTTGGTTTGTGGCTTGAAGTAGTTTAGTGTTTGAGATTGTATCTGGCCAGAAAATTTTGATAATTCTACATAGACATGTGTGGTGGAAGGTGGACAGCTTGTGTGCTTCCTTTTTTAAGGCTGGCTCAAACTAGAAGCAAACAGTCAGTTTTGAAAAAATCACCCATGATGTGGATTTGAACCCTAGACCTTCGGCCAGGCAGGGGAACATCTAGCCATTACACTGCTGTTGCTTCCTACACATAATAAATTAATATATAATATGTATAATTGTTCCTTTGCAGATTAGACAAAGCCTTGATACGGCCAGGTCGTGTGGATGTGAAAGAGCTCATAGATTATGCTTCGGAATACCAGCTTCATGTGATGTTCAGAAGATTCTACCCTGATGAGCCAGAGTCGTCTGCTCATGATTTTGCTTCTAAAGTTCTGGCCTTGCAGAAACCTGTGTCTGCCGCCCAAGTTCAAGGTTACTTTATGTTGCATAAGAATGAACCACAGACTGTGATTGACAATGTGATAGAAATAGTGGATTTATAACTTTGAATTACAGTTTTTAGAAAATCAGGCAGATATGGGTTGTTATTGTTGGTTTTTGTTGTTGTTGTTATTGCTGCATCACCTTATGTACCATTCTGTACAGTTTTGTTGTTGTTGTTTTGTTATGGTTGTGTTGTTGAGCTGTGTTAACATTATTATACAACAACAAAAAAACCCAGAAAATTATGGAATAATAGGATGACGATGAGGGTGTTAAAAAAAAAGAACTTGAACACTGTGACATAAAAAGAAGCTGGGAAATTATGGGATATCTTAAACTGTAAATACCACTTTTACAGAAAAATGAAGAGTAGGAACTGGTTGAGCAGTTAGAATACTAGGCTGTCATCATGGAAGCCTAGTTTAAAATCGTCTGTATGGGGATGTGAATATTTTCGGCCAGGGGCAAGAGTTCTGTCTATAGATTAGTGGTTTTTAATCCCCTACCACTGTGAATATATAGCAAGACACCCCCACCCCACACTCCCTCTTACTTTAAAAAAAAATGTGATTAAAAGGAGGAGAACAAAGAGAAAACCCTTAGCACTTTTAACCAGAACTGTGTTAGCATTTTTAACAAGAACTGTGTTAGCACTTTTAACAAGAACTGTGTTAGCACTTTTAACAAGAACTGTGTTAGCACTTTTAACAAGAACTGTGTTATCTTAGAACTTTTAACAAGAACTGTATTATCTTAGCACTTTTAACAAGAACTGTGTTATCTTAGCACTTTTAACCAGAACTGTATTATCTTAGCACTTTTAGCAAGAACTGTATTATCTTAGCACTTTTAACAAGAACTGTGTTAGCACTTTTAACAAGAACTGTGTTAGCACTTTTAACAAGAACTGTGTTAGCACTTTTAACAAGAACTGTGTTATCTTAGCACTTTTAACCAGAACTGTGTTATTCTATTAAGTAGATTTTTAATACTAGACGTACAGACTGCTCATGAAACTAATTATGTTCTTGACATTTTTTTAAAATTCAAAAGTGATTAAAAATATTTTATTAAAAATTAAACTGAAAAAGATGTTAATATAACAGATTATTAAGGCACAAAGGAAATTCAAAAATAGTTTGACACCTCCTTGAAAAATTGCTCCCCCCCCCCCCCCCCCCCCCCCCCCGGTTAAAAATCACAAATATAGATGATTATTAACTCCACATACAGATGAGTATTGTTAGGATGACTTCAAAGAAGTTGACCCACAAAAGAACTGATTACCTGTACTGGAAGATAAGAAAAGAGGCAATCCACATTCAGTAGACTCAGTATGGAGAACTCTGGTACATGATAAGAACAGAAAACTCAGAGGGGAGGGAACACATGCACGGATCAAAAGAGAATATCTGATGGAGTTTGACTTCAAAGAGTTCATGCTGAGAAGATCAACTTCCTTACCTCGGGTTATTCCCCATTATTTTAAAGATGTATAAGAAATGCAGCAGGACAAACAAGAATAGACAGAGTCAACAACGAAGAACAAAGAACAATGGCAGGCACAGTAGCGATAAATTATTTCATAGAACGTTAAAGGGGGCTGCGTTAGTGCAGTCGATAGGAGACTTGCTTTCAAATCCTGCTGCAGCTCACCGCAGGTGTTCGAAACTGGGCAGTCGGGGTTTACCAAGCCTCTAGGTAATGAGTTCCAGAGTTAACTCTGGGGAAAATGGAGGAACATCCATGTAGCTACGGAGTTGCGTGCGGACGGCGACATAGGCGGACAGTTTCTAATCAGCTGTCGTTGTTTTTTAGCAGAGTATTTATGGTTTATAACCGTGTGCAGTCATGCTGGTTCACATCTCCCGACTTTACCTTTTTATAGAACATTAAAGAATCAAATATAAGCCAACAATGTCGCATACCAGCTTGCCCCAATTTTAAAACACCCTGCTGTCCCAGCTGAGATAAAAAGACAAATTATAAATACAATCTTTATACCGACATTAGGTTATCAATGTCAGACTTGGACATTAACAAAAGAACACGAGAGAAGACTAACCACCTGTGAAATGAGATGTTTGAGAATGGCTGCGAATAAAACCAGAAGAGATCGAGTGAGAAACGATGTGATTACAAGAACTATTGGAACCATACCCATCATTAAATTTATTGAGAAGCAAAGAATGAAATGGTTTGGTCACCTAATGAGAATGGAACCAACGATGCCAGCATCAAGAGCATACAACATGAAAATCGAAACACCAAGAGGCAGGGGAAGACCAAGAAGAAGATGGATTGAAGGAGTCACGGACAACTTGAGACTTCATAACATCACGGCATATGAAGCGACTGAGCGCGCCCTGGCTCGGTTGCCGATCATCTGATAGACAAGCAGATTTTTGACAAAAGAAAGAAGAAGAAAGAATCAAATGGTTTTGTCATCTGGTCAGAATGCAACAAAATCAGCCAGCAGCTAGAGCGTACTACATGAGAACAGCAGGCTACAAGGCAAGAGGCTGACCAAGAAAGAGATGGGTAGAGGGAGTTTTTAAAAAAAAAAGACACAACAGAAACATAATATGACATTAGCAAAAGCTATGCAGCTAGCAAAAGACAGGAAACAAACAAAAGACAGGAAACATATCTGACTCCTTTTTAAAATGCTTTACGGCAAAAACATTAGGACAAAAGAAGAAGAAGGTCCCATTTAGCTTGGTCTCTTTCTGCAGAACTGCAATCTGCCTGCAGAGATAATCACACAAAGCACTAACGCCATAGCTCCAGTAAATATCACTGTGGATCTCTGTAAAAACTGAATGAGGTGTCCATGAAATGAGCCTACAGTCTTCAGAGCTCCAGGTAAAATGGGTGGACCACTTTACCAAGGAGATCCCCATTGTTGATGAGATCATTTCATTGAGGATTGGTGAGTGTTAAGCTAAGAACTGGCATCACAGTATTCAGGACTTTCTCATGAGGGCTCCGTCTTCTTCAGCAACCAGCAAAGATTTCCATTTCCGATGGTGTACCAGTAGCTGTTGGATTATATGTCCAGATTGCCTTTCCTTTAAGTGTAGAGTATCGACCATATCCCATGATCCCTCCCTGAGTGTAGAGTATCGACCATATCCCATGATCCCTCCCTGAGTGTAGAGTATCGACCATATCCCATGATCACTCCCTGAGTGTAGAGTATCGACCATATCCCATGATCACTCCCTGAGTGTAAAGTATTGACCAGATTCCGTGATCACTCCCTGAGTGTAAAGTATTGACCAGATTCCGTGATCACTCCCTGAGTGTAGAGTATCGACCATATCCCATGATCACTCCCTAAGTGTAAAGTATCGACCAGATTACGTGATTCCTCCCTGAGTATAAAGTATCGACCAGATGTCATGATCACTCCCTGAGTGTAGAGTATCAACCAGATCCCATGATCCCTCCCTGAGTGTAGAGTATCGACCAGATGCCATGATCGATACCTGAGTGTGGAGTATTGACCAGATTCCGTGATCACTCCCTGAGTGTAGAGTATTGACCAGATTCCGTGATCACTCCCTGAGTGTAAAGTATCGACCAGATTCCGTGATTCCTCCCTGAGTGTAAAGTATCGACCAGATTCCATGATCCCTCCCTGAGTGTAAAGTATTGATCAGATTCCGTGATCCCTCCCTGAGTGTAGAGTATTGACCAGATTCCGTGATCACTCCCTGGGTAAAGTATCGACCAGATTCCGTGATCACTCCCTGAGTGTAAAGTATCGACCAGATTCCGTGATTTCTCCCTGAGTGTAAAGTATCGACCAGATTCCATGATCCCTCCCTGAGTGTAAAGTATTGATCAGATTCTGTGATCCCTCCCTGAGTGTAAAGTATTGACCAGATTCCGTGATCCCTCCCTGAGTGTAGAGTATTGACCAGATTCCGTGATCACTCCCTGGGTAAAGTATCGACCAGATTCCGTGATCACTCCCTGAGTGTAAAGTATCGACCAGATTCCGTGATTTCTCCCTGAGTGTAAAGTATCGACCAGATTCCATGATCCCTCCCTGAGTGTAAAGTATTGATCAGATTCTGTGATCCCTCCCTGAGTGTAAAGTATTGACCAGATTCCGTGATCCCTCCCTGAGTGTAGAGTATTGACCAGATTCCGTGATCACTCCCTGGGTAAAGTATCGACCAGATTCTGTGATCCCTCCCTGAGTGTAAAGTATTGACCAGATTCCATGAATAACTCCCTGAGTGTAAAGTATCGACCAGATTACGTGATTCCTCCCTGAGTATAAAGTATCGACCAGATGTCATGATCACTCCCTGAGTGTAGAGTATCAACCAGATCCCATGATCCCTCCCTGAGTGTAGAGTATCAACCAGATCCCATGATCACTCCCTGAGTGTAGAGTATCAACCAGATCCCATGATCCCTCCCTGAGTGTAGAGTATCGACCAGATCCCATGATCCCTCCCTGAGTGTAGAGTATCGACCAGATGCCATGATCGATACCTGAGTGTAGGGTATCGACCAGATCCCATGATCCCTCCCTAAGTGTAGAGTATTGACCAGATCCCATGATTCCTCCCTGAGTGTAGAGTATTGACCAGATCCCATGATCCTTCCTTGAGTGTAGAGTATCGACCAGATCCCATGATCCCTCCCTGAGTGTAGAGTATCGACCAGATCCCATGATCCCTCCCTGAGTGTAGAGTATCGGCCAGATCCCATGATCCCTCCCTGAGTGTAGAGTATCGACCAGATCCCATGATCCCTTCCTGAGTGTAGAGTATCGACCAGATTCCATGATCCCTCCCTGAGTGTAGAGTATCGACCAGATCCCATGATCCCTCCCTGAGTGTAGAGTATCGACCATATCCCATGATCCCTCCCTGAGTGTAGAGTATCAACCAGATCCCATGATCCCTCCCTGAGTGTAGAGTATCGACCAGATCCCATGATCCCTCCCTGAGTGTAGAGTATTGACCAGATCCCATGATCCCTCCCTGAGTGTAGAGTATCGACCAAATCCCATGATCCCTCCATGAGTGTGGAGTATCGACCAGATCCCATGATCCCTCCCTGAGTGTAGAGTTTCGACCAGATCCCATGATCCCTCCCTGAGTGTAGAGTATCGACCAGATCCCATGATCCCTCCCTGAGTGTAGAGTATCAACCAGATCCCATGATCCCTCCCTGAGTGTAGAGTATCGACCAGATCCCATGATCCCTCCCTGAGTGTAGAGTATCGACCAGATCCCATGATCCCTCTTTGAGTGTAGAGTATCGACCAGATCCCATGATCCCTTCCTGAGTGTAAAGTGTCGACCAGATCCAAGGATCAATGCTAGCCGCACTATTATCTCCAGACCAGAATGATCTTTTTGTGCCTCTGCATTCTCAGCTTACCGACAAAGGGGCTTAACTACATCTAGCTTGTCATGCTTGTCACCCAATGGTTCACAACCAGCCAGTCTGTCTGCCTGTTCATTTCCCAACACTACTGCCTAAATAAACATCTGTATCAGAAGTGACAGATGGTACAAAGGTCAGAAGGCTATAAAATACTCTGGGGAAAAAAAACATGATAATAGAGAAACTGCAAATAAAACCCATGATGGGAAGATAACAGTACAAAAACAAATCGATAAAGAAAATAATTAAGTGGGTAAATATTAAGAGTCGTTGAAAAGAAAGGCAAACGCATACATGCACAAATAAAGATCAAAGACGAGACATGGTACATGGAAACAAATGTTACAAACCTTGAAAATAGCATTAATAATTACAAATAAATGTCAAATTAAACCAGATGTTTTGAATTTTATTATTCTAAAGAGTAAAGGACATAAGAGAAGAAAATGAAATTTAAAATAAAAAAAGAAAGGAGAAAGGGTAGTTGAACAAAGCATCCACACACTGCTTGATAGAAGATTAAAGAATAGACATCGAACTGAAAAGGAAAAAATAACAAGAGAGAGAGAGAAAGCCTTTTTTTTAAATAAAAATGTCCCTCTCCAGAGTTGCATTCTGAAAGATTACCACACAGTGACTCAAAGAGCCACTGTTTGTGTGAGGATCCAACAGTAGCAGATATCAGAAACCATGTTCAACCATATATGACAGTCATGTTTGGGTACTTGATGATTATAACATGATTGCATGACCTGGGCGAAAAGCATGGTGAAACACATCTATGCTGCCTCGAGACCCTGATATGAGACATTATAACCAACTCCTCAAGGGAACATGCTGTAAAGCTACCTTGGAGTGGCTGCTGCATCCGAGGCCTGAGCACACGTAGGACTGCACAATGTGCAGTAAAATCGACTGTGATGACATATTAAAAATAAAGGTAAAACTGGACAAACAATGTATAATTTTATTGTAATGAGAGCAAAGAATACAAGTTGAACAGAACACAGAAATTTAAAGAAAAGACCGTGGAGAAGATTCAAAGAAAAGTGGAGTGAAATTTTCTGTACCCATAGAATTGAAATAAAAGGGTAAAGAAAGTAAAAAAGACAAGCAGAAAAAGAATGAAGGAAAGAAGAAGACATTGAAGACGGAGCCAAGAAAAGCATGGTGAGGCATTTCCTACCAGGTTTAAAGAAAAATTGCAAAGAAAAGACAAACCGAAACATAATACAAGAAAGAAAAAGGAGCCAAGAAAAGAGGGAAGAGAAGAAGACAAGGAAAGAGAGAAGAAAAGAAGCTAAGAAAAGAGAGAAGAGAAGAAGCCGAAAAAGAGAAGAAGTCAAGAAAAGAGAAGAGAAGAAGCCAAAAAAGAGAGAAGAGAAGAAGCCAAGGTTATTAAGAAGAGAAGAAGCCAAAAAAAGAAAGAAGAGAAAAAGCCAAAAAAGAGAGAATGTGGAGAAGAAGCCAAGAAAGGAGAGAAGAGAAGCTAAGAAAAGAAAGAAGAGAAAGAGCAAAAAAAAGAGAAGAAAAGAAGCCAAGAAAAGAGAGAAGAGGAGAAGCCAAGAAAAGAGAAAAGAGAAGAAAGAAGCCAAGAAAAGAGAGAAGAGAAGAAGCCAAGAAAAAAGAGAAGAAGCCGAGAAAAGAGAAGAAGTCAAGAAAAGTGAGAAGAGAAGAAGCCAAGAAAAGAGAGAAGAGAAGAAGCCAAGAAAACAGAGAAGAGAAGAAGTCAAGAAAAGTGAAGAAGCCAAGAAAAGAGAGAAGAGAAGAAGCCAAAAAAATAGAGAAGAAGCCGAGAAAAGAGAGAAGAAAAGCCAAGAAAAGAGATAAGAAGCAGAGAAAAGGGAGAAGAAGCAAGAAAAGAGAGAAGAAGCCGAGAAAAGAGAGAAGAGAAGAAGCCAAGAAAAGAGAGAAGAGAAGAAGCCAAGAAAAGAGAGAAGAGAAGAAGCCAAGAAAAGAGAAAAGAGAAGAAGCCAAGAAAAGAGAGAAGAGAAGAAGCCAAAAAAAGAGAGAAGAAGCCGCGAAAAGAGAGAAGAGAAGCCAAGAAAAAAAGAGAAGAAGCCGAGAAAAGAGAGAAGAAGTCAAGAAAAGAGAGAAGAAGCCGAGAAAAGAGAGAAGAGAAGAAGCCAAGAAAAGAGAGAAGAGAAGAAGCCAAGAAAAGAGAGAAGAGAAGAAGCCAAGAAAAGAGAGAAGCCAAGAAATGAGAGAAGAGAAGAAGCCAAGAAAAGAGAGAAGAGAAGCCAGGAAAAGAGAGAAGAGAAGAAGCCAAGAAAAGAGAGAAGCCAATAAAAGAGAGAAGAAGCCAAGAAAAGAAAGAAGAGTACGGAGAATGGGGCCAAGAAAAGAGAGAAGATTACGGAGAATGGGGCCAAGAAAAGAGAGAAGAGTATGGAGAATGGGGCCAAGAAAAGAGAGAAGAACGCGGATATGGATCACAACCCGAGAACGTGAACAGCCACACAAAAAAAGCAGACCCCAGAACAGTCAGGGCAGGAAGGTTATGTCTGCCAGTGCTCTCCCTTAGACCCACTTCTGCTGGCCTATTGTCGGGACGTAATGGCGATGTTTGTTGTTGTTTCTCTAGCCTTTCCTTCACAATCTTTTTGAATGGAGACCATCAGAAACTATATCAAGACCATCGGGAAAAGCTTTTTCAATAATCTCTTCGAGAGATCGATCAGGGTGTACATACAGAAGCATCTTGGCGAGTTTTTACTGGGGAAATTAACCACAGACCAGGTGGATTTGGGCCTTGATGGTGGATCCTTAGCAAGCCTCCATTTGAACGCTGAGGTAATTTTGTAAACACAGCTGTGGTAGTAAACAACACGCCCTAATAAAATACATGTTTACAGTTTTCTTAACAGTTAACTTTTAATAGAGAATGCGAGTTATTGTGAGTTATGTAAAGAACAGATGATGCAGAAAGAACAGTTGAGTCAAGTTGAACTTTGTAGACTTTGCTTTCGCACAAAGACAGCCGTTGAACCAAGGGTTTCCTGAATCATTGTTGAACAGACGCGGAGGGCACGGGTTCGCGTCTATATAACAGTAGCATTACTATTACACTGTAGATTTAGGGCTGCTAGATTTCTGGTTTAGAATATAAAACACATTATTATTATTCATCAGTGTATGTGTGCATTTATTTCAGTCTTTTCAAATTTTTTTTTAAATTACAGTGGTGTTTCTTGTCATGCTAAATCATGTTCTGTCTCAGGTTATCACCATATCATTCTCTACATAGATGTTTTGATCTTCTCTGTTGTAAATTCATCATGGTATACTGCCTAATAATGTCTTTTGCTTATCATCTATGTTTACAACTGTAGTAATTATCTGTAACCACAGCCCTCTGTCATGAGTGCTGCCAGTAATTTCTGATTTGAATTACCCCCCTCCACCATCCTATCCTAGTATCCAATGGTGCCACACCGTGTAACATTTCTGTTGGTCTCCCTTTTTCATCTCCTTAAAATTTCCAGTTGTCCCCTTCTCAAGATTAGAACTCTTCGCATGCTGCTGAAGATGGGGATGGAGCACTTATGGGAGTGTCCCAAGTCCTCTGATGTCAATTCTTTATTCAACATACATTCAAAGTGTGACCAGAAATGTCATCTTAGGTAATGAAACTTTGTTGTTATTTTTCATAACATTTTGATGACTTTTGATCAGTCAGCATTCTCAACATTCTTATATAAAAGTTCTTGACTACAGTTTCTACAGAGTTTGTCTCAAATCTGCAGACTGTCCATGATTAACTTCCATACATCAGGAGCTGTGCCAGTTTGATATTACACCTACTCCTGTGCCTCGTATTGATGACCACTCCGATCTTCATTCTAAACTTTAGCAGTTGTTCTTCTTCCCGCTTCTTCTGGCTGTAAACCAGCAAAATGTTCTAGTTGTTTATCCACTTGTGGACTTAAGTCTTATTCCAGAACTTGAGCTTTGCATACACATCCATTTTACAGATCTGGCTTATTTGTATGCAGACTGTTGGTGCAGGCAGATGGCCCACTCCAAAGGAAACCCCTATTTAGTTGACTCTCACAATATGTTTGTAAGGGGAGTTGGTCTGTTCTCCTGGCGAGGTTCTACACTTGGCTAACATAATGTTGCTCACTGTTTTCTGGATATATCCGACTGGACAGAGAATACAGGCAATAAAACCTGATGGTTGCGAAGGTAGAGGCTCAAGCCTTGGTATTTAGGAATACTTTTGAGGGTAACTGAGGATAAAGTTGTTTACACAACTGGGTCTGTAGTTCAGTACCTGCAAGTTTCGGATTGTATCCCCTGGAGGGTTAACTTGTTTTTGTGTGTGGCCTACCCAAATGCCCCAGCAGCTCACACTCCCTCTTGCCAATTACATGATTCACTGGAATTTGTTTAGTGCTCTCCCAAAGCAGATCTCTGGATCAGTCTCACCATTTAATTTGTTCTGTTCTGGCAGGCACCACTTAACGAATGTTTGTAGCTAATTGTTAATTAATTTACCTGCTGTATTTCAGACAATAAATGAGAGGCTTGAAGGGGTCAATGTCCCGTTCACACTTGTTGATGGGTACATTGACACCCTGCACCTACAGATCCCATGGTCGGAAATCTCCACTGAATCCATTGTTGTCATTGTCGATGGACTCTACCTCACCATCCGACTCAATGAAACTGAAGTTGGTAAGTGAGCATCATCATTAATCAATAGGTGCTTGCCTGGCTCTCTAGCGTAGTTGGCTAAACCGGATTGCGCGGAAACCGGGTGACGAACTCCTTGTGGTCTGGGTTCAATCCCCGGGATAGGCAGAAAAGCCACATTTTCTCCCAGATTTACGGTATTTACAATGGAATCAAGGCAGAAAGGTTCCGATATCCATAATACCGAGCCTAAGGGTTAACAACTTATGGTTTCTGGATACAAAAAAAAAAAAAAAACATCAATAGGTGCTTTAAAGAACGTCGCTCTCATCATAGCACACCTAAAAGTCTCTCTTTATCTAATCACTTCACCAACCTTATTTCCTGTCATAGCCAGCACATCTTCAATTTCTTGTTTCCACCTTCGTGAAGGTCTGCCTTGTTTCCCAGAATCTGTACCTTCCATCACCGTTTTTTCCAACTACCGTGACGTTTCATACGACCAAAATACGTCAACTTTTGGGAGTATAACTTTTTGTAGAATAGTATCAGAAAGTATGAATGAAAGGTCAGCCAGTGTGTAGATGGGCTGGAAACGTGAATAGGACCAATTACTATAAGAATGATATTGTCTGTTGTCTTCAGATGTAGGCCTTGATGTGAAGTCTGTCTATAGATTGTTATAGGAATGATATTGTCTGGTGTCTTCAGATGTAGGCCTTGATGTGAAGTCTGTCTATAGATTGTTATAGGAATGATATTGTCTGTTGTCTTCAGATGTAGGCCTTGATGTGAAGTCTGTCTATAGATTATTATAAGAATTATACTGTCTGTGTTTCATCAGATGAAGGCCTTGATGTCAGGTCTGTCTTTGAAAGCATGACTGCCTCCATGGTTGAAGAGGTGATGAAGTCTGATGTTGCTGCTGCAGACATTCACAAAATCTCAGAAGCTGGCAAGGGAGCATCTCCATTTGAGAGTGTGGAATTGATGTCTGAATTTATCTCCTCAAGTATGACTTTTCTTTAGGAACCTTTAACATGCTTATGGTGTATTTGGGAAATATGTCATATTTTTATTAGCCATTTAATACTCAAGTGATGTGGAAGTGCCATGCCAGCAGACGGTACATCCTAGATCATTTCCTTGTGTCTGTTTTTTGGTAGGATCTACCAGGAAGAGAAGAGAACTTTCTAAAAAATTGGCATGTCCCTGTGGGTATCTAAATGTCCCTGTGGGTATCCAAATGTCCCTGTGGGTATCCAAATGTCCCTGTGGGTATCCAAATGTCCCTGTGGGTATCCAAACGCCCCTGTGGGTATCCAAACGCCCCTGTGGGTATCCAAACACTAGACCACCAGGTTTTCAGATGAACTAGTCACTGCACTGCAACAGCTTCCTGAGTATTGTTGACTGGAATGTGTGAATGTGACAGACCTCAGAAATGAGGTATCTGACAAAGATGGTCCAAGTGACAAGCAGATACAGAGTCCACAACCTGGCAATACATCAAGATATTGAAACCCAGCCCTTACCCACCCGAGTGGATCAGTCACAGTTATGGTGGTTTGGACATGTATTCAGAATGTGTGTAATTGGTCACCATGGCATGCATGGGAGGCTGAGAACCAGACCACCAGGGCCCGCTGGGAAAACAACATCTGACAGTCCGTGACTGACAAAGGATTATAATGGATTATACACCAAACAGAAAACTGCTGATAGAGAAGTCTGGCAATCTCTCTTGCAAATGTCTGCACCCCAAGGTAAAAGACGATCAGAGAAGATAACTTTCTAAAAATTGGCGTGTCCCTGTGGGTATCCAAACACAACACAGCTCATTAAAATCAGATAAATAAAAAACACATAGAGGTAAATGTTTGTGGGTGAAAGCAAACTTTATTTTATGTTTGGATAACTTAGTTTTTAATTTAAGCATATTTCTAATATATAAATGTACGCTATGTTTGTATCCACATTATTCAGTTTTAGTTTGGGAAAATATTGTTTTGAATATCTCCCAATATTTTCTCTTGTCTAGTTACATCTCGTATTCAAGTGAAAATGAAAGACATCGTTATCAAGACAGAGAAGTCTCCAGGAGTGTGTGTAGAACTTCTGATTCATCGGTAAGTGAAGAACAGCGGGTTAGTAAAATACATATTCTAGGGCATATGTGGAAACCTTTAAATGATGGGTAAACATTGTCGAATTGTAGAATAACTATAAGTACTGGAGTGCACATACAGGTATGTTGGGATTGTGAAGATATGTTCACAACCCCTAAGCCACAAATACCTGCATAATCTCCCGTACTTCTTCTTCTTCGTGTTCACCAGCTGTAAACTCTGGCGGAAAGTTCTGGTTGCTCGTCCACTACTGAACTGCAGTCCTGCTCCAGAACCTGAGTGTTGCATGTGCATCAGTTTTACAGATCTCATTCTCTTGGATACAGACTGTTGGTTCCTTGCCTCTCTGGCAGATGCACTCCGGCTTCGAAGGAAGCTCCCCAATTAGTCGACTCTTACGACATGCTTTTGGGAAGGCAGTGGGTCTATTCTATCTCCCGTACTGAAATAAATAATATTGATTCTGTCCCTTCTGTTTAAAGCGTGGTAGTCATCATTGCACAGCACCTTTGCATGAGTGAAATTAAACATTGTTGAATCATATCTCTTTTATAATATTGTTTCTTTTATGTTGAGGTCAGATTTTACACAATTCCCAGTTTGAAATAAGAAATATATCAATATGTTATTTGCCAGGCTGGACTATTACGACAAAGACAGCTCAACCTCCAAGGAAAAGAAGCCAAATTTGCCAGTCACTCCTCCTGGTTTCTCTACCAAGATCTTGGAAATTACCAAAGTGACTCTCAATCTGGAGGAAGTCTGGAGTAGAGAGAACTCTCCCAAACAGTTGGACCCCATAGAACAGTCAACTATGGTAATGACAGATTGAGTCATTGGCTCAATGTTTGTTAAATATTGTTGTTCGTCTTAGTTTTCCATAATTGTCCATATCATCATCATCATCTTCATCATCATCATCATCTTCATCATCATCATCATCATCTTCATCATCATCTTCATCATCATCTTCATCATCATCATCATCATCATCATCATCTTCATCATCATCATCTTCATCATCATCTTCATCATCATCTTCATCATCATCATCATCTTCATCATCATCTTCATCATCATCTTCATCATCATCATCATCATCATCATCATCATATAGCAGGTCCATTGCAGAACGTCACTCTCATCAAAGTCTGCCCGAAAGAAACTAGTTCTTCCCTGTGTGGGTTTCGGGGCCCCATTGTGGGGGAAAACAAGAATAGACCCACTGCCTCCCCAAAAGCACGTCGTAAGAGTCGACTAATTGGGGAGCTTCCTTTGAAGTCGGAGTGCATCTGCCTGAGAGGCAAGGAACCAACTGTTTGCATTCAAGTGAATCAGATCTGTAAAACTGATGCACACGCAACACTCAGGTTCTGGAGCAGGACTGCAGTTCAGAGGTGGATAAACAACCAGAACTTTCCACCAGAGTGTTCAGCTGGTGAATGCGAAGAAGAAGAAGAAGAAAAAATTTGTTCTCTCGTCAGTTCTCCCGCCTCAATCACTTTCACACTCAAGGAGTCACTTTTATCCTGTGCCCATCTTCGTGTCGGTCGGCCCCTTCCACTCCTTCCAGGTACCATGCCTTCTGCTATAATTTTTTTCCAATCCGTCGTGGCGCTTAATATGACCAAAATATTTCAGCTTTCAAGAAAGGGTGCTGTTTATTAGCCAATCTTCCTTGATGTTCAGATCTTTTAAGATGTCAATATTTCTCATTTTCTTTGTCCAAGATATTCTGAGAATCTTTCTATAGCCTTTCAGCTCAAAAGCCCCTATTCTCTTTCTCAAGGACTCAGAGATAGTCCACGAATCACATCCGTATGTAGCCACAGGGAAGATGCATGCTCTCAAAATTATAATTTTTATCTCCTTGCTGGTGCTTAACCATAGACTTTTAAGGCTGTTCAATCTTTGCATTGCTATGGCCATCCTTCTTTTAATTTCTGTCGAATAGTCTCCATTGTTGTTTATTATAGAGCCTAGATATTCAATGTTTGTGACATTTTCAATTTCTTCATCATTTATTGTTATTTTTGGTTTAAAAATGAAAATGTTTATATAATATGATGTCCATGACTACCATAGTCTTGAAAACACATTTTGGTGTGTGTCCTGCACTGCTGAAAAACATATATAAGTACCGTTTGAGTTATTCTTCTAATGGCATTAGTGATATATTTGTTTATTCTGTGTAGGAAACTTGAGGGACAACACCCTGTGTTATAAGTGTTACTATATATTTGGGCAGTAGTACGAGGCTAGAGGGTCGTATTTTATGCAACATACTAGGTACAAAAATGCAAGCTCTTATTTTCCTCCACATCCTAGCATAGAGATTCAAGACTGCAAAGTCTTATTTTCCTTCTACATCCTAGGGCAGAGATACAAGACTGCAAAGTCTTATTTTCCTTCTACATCCTAGGGTATAGATACAAGACTGCAAAGTCTTATTTTATTTCTACATCCTAGGGTAAAAGTACAAGACTACAAGGTCTTATTTCCCTCTACATCCTAGGGTAGAAGTACAAGACTACAAGGTCTTATTTCCCTCTACATCCTAGGGTAGAAGTACAAGACTACAAGGTCTTATTTCTCTCTACATCCTAGAGTAGAAGTACAAGACTACAAGCTCTTATTTATTTCTACATCCTGGGGTAGAAGTTGACGTGTGCGAAATGTTCGCTTGATACACCGCACACTTGCCAAGTATCCATGGTATGCTCAATAGTGTTACAGTAACAAGTCACCATTCCCGCCTAACAGCAATAAAGGACGCCGGATACATGTTGAACGTCAAAACATAATTAATGTATTTCAACACCAAGACAATGAATCCACATGAATTTCTATACTGCCACAGTCATTCTTATCAAGGCGACGCACACTCAGGACGCTCTGGACGACTTCTACTGCCACTCTGTTCAGTGGTTAACTACGAGCAAACATTACCTGCTCGTGCAAACCCATTACTCGTGATTACGTGTCTATCTCTATGACACCCATCCCTTGGGTACACTGTCACTATAAAAATCATACAGGCCGATGCACAATACCTAGTGAAGATTAACCAGGCCTTCCGTCTGCGGCCTGACACGTACTTGAGATCTCCCATCTCACCACACGAGCTTCTGTCACGCTGGCCCGGCCTCTGCGGCATCTCTCGCCGATAGCCTGTATGCCTACCGCCAGCGTGACATGCGGGTGTGCAGGACTAGTCTGGCAACACCCAGACTAGAACCTACATCACCGCATCATTTCTCTCCGGGGACTTGGAGCCAACCGTTTTTCTCTCTCTTTTCACAATCCGTTCACTGTGTGCTGCACCGCACCAAGTTTTACGTTCAATTATGAACTTCCCTTTCATATACCCATATATTGCACACAACAGAAGTACAAGACTACAAAATCTTATTTCCCTCTACATCCTAGGGTAGAAGTACACGACTACAAGGTCTTATTTCCCTCTACATCCTAGGGTAGAAGTACAAGACTACAAGATCTTATTTCCCTCTACATCCTAGGGTAGAAGTACAAGACTACAAGATCTTATTTCCCTCTACATCCTAGGGTAGAAGTACAAGACTACAAGGTCTTATTTCCCTCTACATCTTAGGGTAGAAGTACAAGACTACAAGGTCTTATTTTCCTCTACATCCTGGGGTAGAAGTACAAGACTACAAGGTCTTAATTCTCTCTACATCCTAGGGTAGAAGTACAAGACGACAGGGTCTAATTTTCCTCTACATCCTAGGGTAGAAGTACAAGACTACAAGGTCTTTTTTTCCTCTACCCTTTGAGTTCCAAACTATTTTAACTTGAAGAGCCCATTTGTAGAATCAGTTTGCATGGTAGAGCCCTTCAGGCTTACTGCAGCCGAAGTCTTACAAAACATTGATGTTTAGAAGTAATGTTAAGTAGCTAAGAAAGAGGGGTAGATACTAAGAGAATCGGTGGTGTTTCCTTCAAAGTTGAAGTGCATCTTCATGAGAGGTGAGGAACCAAAGGTTTGCATGCAAATGCTTGCTTACTTAGTCGCTCCTCTTCTACCTTGTAGTGTAGAGCTTTGCCAGAGAGATCGCCAGACTATCAGCTGTTTTCTTTCTGGCTTTGTTCCATTCCAGTCAGAGACTGTCGGATGTTGTCTACCCAGCAGACCCTAGTTTCCCTGGATGTCTAGTTCCCTGGTTCTTAGCCTCCCATGCCTGCTGTGGTGGCAGATTTTCTCCTGTTCTGCATACATGTCCAAACCATTGTAACTGTGACTTCTCCTTCTTCTTCACGTTCACTGGCTTTGAACTTTGGCAGAAAGTTCTGGTTGTTCAACCACCTCTAGACTTTAGACACATTCCAGAACCTGAGTGTTGTGCGCACATCCATTTTACAGATCTGACTTATTTGTATGCAGACTGTTGGTCCCTTGCCTGTCAGGCAGATGCACTTCGACTTTGAAGAAAACCCCCAATTAGTCGACTCCTACGACATGGTTGTTTGGGAGGCAGTGGGTCTACTCTTGTCTTCCCAACAACGGGGCTCCGGAACCCACACAGGGAGTAACTGAGACTGACCCACTGAGGTTTGTAAGGGTTTCAAGATCTTGAGGTATTGTCTGATTACAAACTTTGTCTCTTCTTGTCACTTGGACCACCTCTCTCAGATATCTCATTTCTCAGGCCTGAAGCTGGCTTCTGTGAGCTGTTGTCCTAGCTCATGACTTACACCCGACATCCGTAGATCAGGACTGGCACATACGTGGAGCTATAAAAAGCCATTTTTGTTTCATCCTCTTGCCAATTTCTGTTGTTAAGAAACCTCGGTTAACGGCATGGGAAAGTCTCATAGAAGCCAGCTCTGTGTTAAGCCTCCATTGGTTGACTGGTTGACCTGCTCCAATGCATACTGTCCTATCAGGATCTATTATGTCTTTCTTTTCCTCTCTTGAGATCACCATGATGTAAGTTTAGGACATACTGATGGTCATCCCTCTCTTTTCAAGCTCTTCCTTCCAGACAAGTCAGTTGGACTGAAGGTGTGCCTCTGATTTAGCTATCAGGGCCACATCGTCTGCAAATGCCAGCTCTGATATACAGATTGGTCTCATCTTCCAGTACCCTACAGAGTACTTCTTTGTCTTCTCCTTACAGGTCTTGATGACATCATCCATCATAAGAATGAAGAGGTAAGGTGAGAGAATATTACTTTGTCTAACACCGCTAGTAGTCTCCAGTTCTTCTACATTTGATCTGCTATTCTTGCATAGTTTCTGCAGCTTTGATAGAAACTCTGTATTGCACTGATCAGTGCTTAAGGAGACAGTGCACTATATTGTAAAAACCTGCCCATATTTTCCTGGAACCTTTTTTGGGGAAAGGAAATAATAGACTCTGGCGCCCCCCCCCCCCCCCCTTTTTTTTTTGACAACACATCCTGTGAAAGCAGACTAATTAGTGGTGTTTGAAGTGCAACTACACGAGAAGTGAGCAACCAAAGGTCTGCATAGAAATGCATGATCGGATGCGCACACAAAACTCAAGTTCTGGAACAAGACCAAAACCCAGAAGTGAATGAACAACCAGAACTTTCCACCAGTTTCTAGCCGATGAATGCTAAGAAGAAAGTTTGCAGTTTAGTAGGACACTTTAATAATTTAAATTCTGATATATTTATCCTAATGTTTTTATTTTTGTATCAAATCTTAGGCATTTGATATTGCCATGAGCTCACCACCCTCTTCTAGAAACTTCATGCAGAGTTCCATCTACCCAGGGATGTCTTTGGCAGATTCAGAGGAGGTGGAGCAGTCTGAGTCTGGGGGTCAGATTCCCATCATATCGCTGGACAAGACTCAAACTGTTACCATCCAGATCAAGAATGATGACCAGTTGCCTGGACCTGCTGTAAGTTGGGGGTTTTTAGCATCATCCTCATGTGTCCTTTTCTCATCTTCTTCACTTCTTCTTTAACCGATTCAGGTGTTGAGGGATATATATGCTTCTGCCTGTTGCTCTTGTGGAAGCCTCAATCATAGACACATTGGGATTTTGTAGTTTTTCTGATGTTATCTTTCCATCGTGTTCGTGGTCGCCCTTTTGCTTTAAATCCTTGTCTTGTTTTGGTGTATGCCTTGTATGCCATGGCGTCACAAGGCATTCTCTCCTAATTGGGCAAATCATTTGATTTGCTAACCTTGTTTCTGCTTTAGAATTGGTTATGTGTTTTATATCTTCTGGTCACTCTTACAGCCCTTCTCAAACATCTCATTTCTGTGGCTACTAATTTTCTTTTATGGTAAGTGACCATGTCTGGCACTGATATTCTCAGAATACCATGTACAGTAGAGCTTTTGAGCTGTACAGATTCTCAGAATACCATGTACAGTAGAGCTTTTGAGCTGTACAGATTCTCAGAATACCATGTACAGTAGAGCTTTTGAGCTGTACAGATTCTCAGAATACCATGTACAGTAGAGCTTTTGAGCTGGACAGATTCTCAGAATACCATGTACAGTAGAGCTTTTGAGCTGTACAGATTCTCAGAATACCATGTACAGTAGAGCTTTTGAGCTGTACAGATTCTCAGAATACCATGTACAGTAGAGCTTTTGAGCTGTACAGATTCTCAGAATACCATGTACAGTAGGGCTTTTGAGCTGTACAAATTCTCAGAATACCATGTACAGTAGAGCTTTTGAGCTGGACAGATTCTCAGAATACCATGTACAGTAGAGCTTTTGAGCTGTACAGATTCTCAGAATACCATGTACAGTAGGGCTTTTGAGCTGTACAAATTCTCAGAATACCATGTACAGTAGAGCTTTTGAGCTGGACAGATTCTCAGAATACCATGTACAGTAGGGCTTTTGAGCTGTACAAATTCTCAGAATACCATGTACAGTAGAGCTTTTGAGCTGGACAGATTCTCAGAATACCATGTACAGTAGAGCTTTTGAGCTGTACAGATTCTCAGAATACCATGTACAGTAGAGCTTTTGAGCTGTACAGATTCTCAGAATACCATGTACAGTAGAGCGTTTGAGCTGTACAGATTCTCAGAATTCCATGTACAAAAAAGAACAGAAATACTGACATCCTAAAAGATATCAACATCAAAAAAGATTTGCTAGTGTTGGTGAAAGGGCTAACTCCCCTTGGCTAGTGTTGGTGAAAGGGCTAACTCCCCTTGGCTAGTGTTGGTGAAAGCGCTAACTCACCTTGGCTAGTGTTAGTGTTGGTGAAAGCGCTAACTCACCTTGGCTAGTGTTAGTGTTGGTGAAAGCGCTAACTCACCTTGGCTAGTGTTAGTGTTGGTGAAAGCGCTAACTCACCTTGGCTAGTGTTGGTGAAAGCGCTAACTCCCCTTGGCTAGTGTTGGTGTTGGTGAAAGCGCTAACTCACCTTGGCTAGTGTTGGTGTTGGTGAAAGCGCCAACTCCCCTTGGCTAGTGTTGGTGAAAGGGCTAACTCCCCTTGGCTAGTGTTGGTGTTGGTGAAAGCGCTAACTCCCCTTGGCTAGTGTTGGTGAAAGGGCTAACTCCCCTTGGCTAGTGTTGGTGAAAGCGCTAACTCACCTTGGCTAGTGTTAGTGTTGGTGAAAGCGCTAACTCACCTTGGCTAGTGTTAGTGTTGGTGAAAGCGCTAACTCACCTTGGCTAGTGTTAGTGTTGGTGAAAGCGCTAACTCACCTTGGCTAGTGTTGGTGAAAGCGCTAACTCCCCTTGGCTAGTGTTGGTGTTGGTGAAAGCGCTAACTCACCTTGGCTAGTGTTGGTGTTGGTGAAAGCGCCAACTCCCCTTGGCTAGTGTTGGTGAAAGGGCTAACTCCCCTTGGCTAGTGTTGGTGTTGGTGAAAGCGCTAACTCCCCTTGGCTAGTGTTAGTGTTGGTGAAAGGGCCAACTTCCCTTGGCTAGTGTTAGTGCTGGTGAAAGGGCCAACTCCCTTTGACTCTGACTTTTAGTATTAAAAAAAAAGGTGTAAACTGGGAGAACATAAAGTGTTAGATCTGCATGTGGTTTATTTAGTGTCTAGTGAGCGAAAGATACTTTGCTGACTGACTGACTTTCTACCCCACCAAGACATCACACAAGCAATAAACACCTAATGACACAAAGTGCCACCATGTGGATGAGGATCACCCGTGGAGAGGTTCCAGAAACCGCGTTCAGCCAGTTGGCCATATTTATGGCCTGGCTATATTTTGGGCCCTGGCAAGAGCCAGGGTGGGGCCTCAAATAACGAAAAATGTATCTTACAAGGCGGCAAGTTAGCTATAATGCTTTGCTTGCAATAGAAATAATTAAGCCGGGGTTAAAACAGTAGGCGAAGTCCGATATTAGTGTTTGCTTTGTGTGTATTTGCATGTTTTAAAACATTTTCTTCTTCCTGCTTTTTCCCACACAGATGAATGTCTCCTGGAATATGGAAAGCTTCCATTTGTTTATTTCTCCTAAACTCCTGTCCATGGCAACTAAACTCCTTGCTGCGGATAATACTAAAAGTAGGTTGTGTCCCTTTGATTGTTTATGGTGCCAGATTTTTCTGTTCAGTCTTTTCATATTCCAGTTTATACAGGGCTCACAGGTTTCTGACTTTAAACATAGGATCCTTTTTAATGCCAGTGGGGCGTTGGGTATTTGATTGTAGGAACATTCTTTTATAGACAAGATGTTATGTTGACAACATCACCCTGGCTTTCCTTTGCAGCCGGAAGGCATCTGCCAGAGAGGCCAGGAATCATCAATTTGCACTCAGTCAGCCAGACCTAGAAAAAAAAAGGATGAGCATGCAACATTTAAATCCTGAAACACGGCTAGGACGAGACAAACAGAGAAGGTGGCACTATATTGGACACATCCTGGGACGAGACAAACAGAGAAGGTGGCACTATATTGGACACATTCTAGGACGAGACAAACAGAGAAGGTGGCACTATAATGGACACATCCTAGGACGAGACAAACAGAGAAGGTGGCATTATATTGGACACATCCTGGGATGAGACAAACAGAGAAGGTGGCACTATATTGGACAGATCCTGGGACGAGACAAACAGAGAAGGTGGCACTATATTGGACACATCCTGGGATGAGACAAACAGAGAAAGTGGCACTATATTGGACACATCCTGGGACGAGACAAACAGAAAAGGTGGCACTATATTGGACACATTCTAGGACGAGTCAAACAGAGAAGGTGGCACTATATTGGACACATCCTAGGACGAGACAAGGACTGACGTGGGAAATAGAGGGATTGAGTAAACGAGGATATCTAAGAGAAACCCTGAGGTGAACGGTGATGAGAGAAGCCAAAGCAGCTGGACTGGATTCGTTCCATGATATCGAAGTGATTTCACAGGATAGAAGGGAATGTGAAAAAAGACTGCGAGCTCCGTGTGACATGTAATGGCACAACAAGGCAGTGAATGAACGAATGAAAGTCATACGCCTGATGCACTAGTGATTAAAAAAAATCATTCTTATCATTTTCGTTTTCTATTTTTACCTTTTTATGTAAATGTTCGTTGTTTGTTTTACTTACTAGGGTCAAAGAAGGTTCCAGAACAGATTCCAATGACCAATGAAGACTTTGAGTTCTGCCGGCGAGGAATGGAAGAAGGGATGAAGCTACGAGACAGCGGTGGCCTTGACGAGATCGATGTCCCTCCGTTGAGTATGGACAAGCATATGGAGATGATGCATGGAGGTTCAGCGGGTAATACTTTAAAATGTATTTTGTGTGGGCAACAATGAGCCTAGGTTCCTGTCATCATGGAGTTTGAGTAGGTAGATGCTAAGCTGATAACTTCTGGACTGAACAACCACACTTGATCAAACTTCTAGACTGAACAACCACACTTGATCAAACTTCTGGACTGAACAACCACACTTGATCAAACTTCTAGACTGAACAACCACACTTGATCAAACTTCTAGACTGAACAACCACACTTGATCAAACTTCTGGACTGAACAACCACACTACAACCACACTTGATCAAACGTCTGGACTGAACAACCACACTTGATCAAACTTCTAGACTGAACAACCACACTTGATCAAACTTCTAGACTGAACATTTGTTCTACTCTCATTACATGTATCGTTTGTTCTATTCTCATTACATATATCATTTGTTCTGCTCTCATTACATTTATCGTTTGTTCTATTCTCATTACATTTATCATACTTTCTATTCTCATTACATTTATCATTTGTTCTACTTTCATTACATTTATTTTTTGTTCTACTCATTACGTTTATCGTTTATTCTACTCTCATTACATTTATCATTTGTTCTATTCTCATAATATATATTGTTTGTTCTGCTCTCATTACATTTATCATTTGTTCTATTCTCATTACATATATCATTTGTTCTACTCTCATTACATTTATCGTTTGTTCTATTCTCATTACATTTATCATTTGTTCTATTCTCATTACATTTATCATTTGTTCTACCCTCATTACATTTATCATTTGTTCTACTCTCATATCATTTGTTCTACTCTCATTACATTTATTATTTGTTCTACTCTTATACATTTTTCATTTATTATACTCTGATTACATTTATCACTTATTCTACTCTCATAATCATTATGTTTATTATTCGTTCTACTTTCATTAATTTCACATTTAATAAATTTTTATCTGCTCAATATTTGTTTTGTTTTAGATTTTATTCTCTCAGAGGAGGACATGTTTTTCTCAGCGTACCCAGCAGCTTACAAGAGTTCTCACTCAGTGTTCGACATCAGCGACAGTGCATCAGTCAGTACCTTTGATGGTGGCTCCGGCTTCAGTGCCACAACTGGTAAGCATTTTTTCTTTTTTGCATCTTTCCGTTTTGTTATCTTTCCGTTTTTTGGCATCTTTCCGTTTTTTTTTCTTCCAGATGATAATGGTCCATTGTACTGTAGTGCATGGGAGTACAAGTCCATGGCAATGTCTGTTAGGGCCAGAGATGAAGTTTCTCCTCTCCTGTGGACAAAGCTGAGTAGTACTATAGAGACCACTTGTCTTCATGCAAAAATATAACTGAATGAAAAGTAGATCAGCGAGCTTACCAGTATAACAAACACAAATAAAACATGAATGTTGCATCCAAAAAGCCTTCATCAGCGCGTACATAAATCAAATAAAACCACATGAACCACATACTAATGCGTCACAGGGAAGAGTGTCTTCAGTAAATCAAAATAAAACCACATCCTAATTCTCTTCACATAGCATTCTAATTTTTGTGTCACAGGGAAGAGTTTCTTCAGTAAAATAACTTTGTCTCATTGGCCTATTACACATTTCTCTTGTCTCAGTTGGCAGATCTACTGGTTGTTCTACTTTCTCTGCAGTCCTGTTCCAGAACCCAAGTGTTCTTATCCGTTTTACAGATCTGACTTATCCTGCAGATTGCCTCTCAGGCAGATGCACACATAATTCCGGTTCTTATTACAATCCTAATTCTCTTCACATAAATCATTCATATTTTTCACACATTAACTTGTCACGTGATGTTTATTAAAAATTATTTCATTGTTCTACTAAAGACATGTTCCATTTTCTCTACAGCGAGTGCTTTCTCGCATGCAAGGAAATCTAGATGTAAGTATGACTATATTTCATTGATGTTGTTTGGTCATCGCTTGCCTGTTGAACAAATCCACTTCAGCTCCCAGGTCGACCCAGCCTAAAATTGGTACTAGTTGTTGTACTCGGAAGGGAAAATTTTCGACATCATGTTGACCATGCCACAATAACTCTACAGTTCTGGCATATTTGTCTGTAGACTGTTGATTCCTGGAAGCCCCTACTTAGTTGACTCTTATGACATGCTTGTTAGGGGCGCAGTGGGTCTATCACCCCTCCCTGGTCATGGAACCCACACGTGGAGTGTTCTGGCAATTACTTGGGAAAGAAACTTGATGATTAAGGAAACAAGTCAGTCTGTCTCATGTGTCGTATCAGTCATACTAAATGTGAAAGATACAATAACACGTGATGTGTTGTTAAATACAGTGTTATTCAACAGGTGTGTCGCCAAAAATGTAACTAACATGTAAAAGGGTAGGCTGAGTAGTTCTTCCCTCCTAGGATTGCAGTCTTTAGGATTAGCACCCCACGGATGGGAATCAAACAGGTGCAAATCCTAGAAATCCAGTTTTTGTTTCTGCATTTGCTTAGCATTCAGGTGGGATGCAAATGAATGTTGAATTAGGAATTGACATAACAGCACTCGAGACACTCCCATAAGTGTTCTGTCTCCCATTTTCAGCAGCAAGCAAAGAGTTCCAATTCTGATGGCACCAGTAACCGTCTGATAGTATATCCGTGACATCCTTTCTCTGAGTGTTGAGCATCGTCTAGATCCCTTGGTAACTCCTCAGAGCGCCATTCTCCTTATATCGTAATGATCCATCTGCACCTCCACACTGTTCACTCGCTCCCAAAGGGCCCTCACAATATCTAGCTTGTTGTACATCAATTTACCACCAAGTGGCGCTGAGCCGACCAGACTATCTGCCTGCTTATTTCCCAACACACCAGCATCACCTGGAGAACATATCTAAAGGATGCTAACTACCCGGGACCTCTGAGGTGATGCTTGCCACTCTGCACGGAGCATGCCTGTCTTCACCTTTCTCAACATGTTCTGTGAGTCAGTTACAATAACGACATGTGTGTAAAGCTGATTCTCAAACCAGCGGAAGGCAGCAGAGACTGCCTCCACCTCCATTTTCAAACTAGACGTTGTGATACTGGGATGCGAAATATTGTCTTTTACTTTGGTGGACACGGGTGTAAGAAGGGTTGAGAAACATTAGTTTAATAGATACAGACAGAATCCTATTACATAGAAGTCACATATTAACAATATCTGATCACATATCGATCACGTATAAATCATTCCCGAAAGTGGTTTAATAAATCATAACAGTTTTCTTGCTGTGTGGAGCAGAAACATGATGACTGACAAAAACATTTACACCTTCTCCTTGATCTCTGGTCATCCGTACTCAATGGCCATCCACACTTTACGACCATCCGCACATACGGCCAACCACGCTTATGGCCATCCGCACTTACGACCAGCCACGCTTACAGCCATCCGCACTTACGACCAGCCACGCTTACGGCCATCCGCACTTACGACCGCACACAAAATGAGTAAATAAAAATATTAAATAAAAAAGATAACTGCATATTAAGGGTCAAAAGGTTACAGGAACTGATGCCTAGAGCGCTGCGGGGTCTAAACATACTTATGCTGATTGAGTGTTTGTGTTTTATGTACAATTGTATCCATTGCACAGTGCTGGTATTCTTTGTTTGTTTCTCCTGACAGATTCGGGTGAAAGATCAATGAGCAGAGGCTGGGATGCCCACACGGTGGAAACACAGAAAATCGATGTCACCATCCCCTTCTTCACGATCACTGTCTTGTTGGAAGATCCCGAACCATGTACAGTCATTGCTGGCTCTGCTTGCACACTTGCTGCCAAATCTGCCAACTCTTTATCAGGTTCCTCTGTTGCCAAAGCGACTAGTTCGTTGTCTTGCTCTCCATCTTCCTCTTTTCCTCCGAAATCTTTCTCCAAGAATTGCCAGTATTCCGGTCCATCAAGTTTACCAGCGTCTTTCACGGGAATCACATCACAGTTTCAGCATATGGCAGGTCATGCAGATAACTCTTCTTTTGGAGCTAGCCAAGCTCCTGCATCTTTCAGAACACCAATTGGAGAAGACGATGAAGATGAAGAAGATGATGAATATCACGACAGTGGTGATTATTTTGATAATTCTCTTGGTGCTGCCCCAACAGATGGGCAGAAATTCAAGGCGGCCAGTGGTCACACGGCACAAAATCCAACCAGAGCTATACGACACAGTCTGCAAGGCCATTAGGTTCACCTGCCAGCTTGGACATGAGCGGCAATAAATTACAAGAAGTGGCTGTCAGATATTTCGAGGCCATGGCCAAACTGGAGAATATTCATGCCCCGTTGCAACAACAGAGAGATAAAGTGGCAGCTCTTCTCCCGCTTGATCATCTCGGGTATGCTGCTCGTTTGTCCACATCTTCTTTGTATAATCTCTTTGTTATTGCTCTGTTATTTGTATCTTCTCATTGTTATTGGTTGGTTCTTTGTATACTCTCATTGTCTTTGTTTTGTTCTTTGTATCTTCTCCATTTTATCATTTTGTTCTTTGTATATTCTCATTGTTATTGTTCATTGTGTATTTATATGTTTATTGTTTTGTTCTTTGTATACTTTCATTGTTTTTTGTCTTTTCTTTGTATACTTTCATTGTTTTTGTTTTTTCTTTGTATCTTCTCATTGTTATTGTGTCTTATCATTCTTCTTCTTCTTCTTTGCGTTCACCAGCTGTACACTCTGGCGTAAAGTTCTGGTTGTTCGTCCACTTTTGGACTGCAGTCCTGCTCCAGAACCTGAGTGTTGCATGTGCATCAGTTTTACAGATCTAATTCAATTGAATGCAGACTGCTGGTTCCTTGCCTCTCAGGGAGATGCACTCCGACTTCAAAAGAAGCTCCCCAGTTAGTCGACTCTTACGACATGCTTTTGGGTAGGCAGTGGGTCTATTCTTATTGTTTTGCTCTTTGTATCTTCTTATTTTTATTGTTTTGCTCTTTGTATCTTCTTATTTTTATTGTTTTGCTCTTTGTATCTTCTTATTTTTATTGTTTTGCTCTTTGTATCTTCTTATTTTTATTGTTTTGCTCTTTGTATCTTCTTATTTTTATTGTTTTGTTCTTTGTATCTTCTTTTTATTGTTTTGCTCTTTGTATCTTCTTATTTTTATTGTTTTGCTCTTTGTATCTTCTTATTTTTATTGTTTTGTTCTTTGTATCTTCTTATTTTTATTGTTTTGCTCTTTGTATCTTCTTATTTTTATTGTTTTGTTCTTTGTATCTTCTTATTTTTATTGTTTTGCTCTTTGTATCTTCTTATTTTTATTGTTTTGTTCTTTGTATCTTCTCATTGTTATTGTTTTGTTCTTTGTATAATCTTATTCTTATTATTCTGTTATTTTTATATTCTTAACCTAAGAACAGTGAATCTGTTGCTTGGCAGTAACCTTTTTTTTCTTCTTCTTTGTGGAAATCCCTGGACTTTGGTCTTCTTCCAGAACTTGAGTTTTGTTTGCATGTCTGTTTTACAGTTCTGGCTTATCTTTATGCAGAATGTTGGTTCTTCGCCTCTCAGGCAGATGTATTTTGACTTTAAAGGGAGCAAGCCTCACTAGTTGCTATTTACAACATGTTTGTTAGGAAACAGTAAATTTACAGCAAAGAAGGGCAGCAGATCCTACACAGTGACACCAGCGAACCAAAATCGTGATATATTTGCAGCTCAGAGAATTCTTCTGTGTTAGCAACAAAGAGGCCAAGAATTCTTCTGTATTAGTGCCTGGAAAGCCGTTATTTCTTCTGTGTTAACAACTGGAAAGCCATTAATTCTTCTGTGTTAACAACTTGGAAGCCGTTATTTCTTCTGTGTTAACAACTGGAAAGCCATTAATTCTTCTGTGTTAACAACTTGGAAGCCATTAATTCTTCTGTGTTAACAACTTGGAAGCCATTAATTCTTCTGTGTTAACAACTTGGAAGCCATTAATTCTTCTGTGTTAACAACTTGGAAGCCATTAATTCTTCTGTGTTAACAACTGGAAAGCCATTAATTCTTCTGTGTTAACAACTTAGAAGCCATTAATGCTTCTGTGTTAACAACTTGGAAGCCATTAATTCTTCTGTGTTAACAACTTGGAAGCCATTAATTCTTCTGTGTTAACAACTTGGAAGCCATTAATTCTTCTGTGTTAACAACTTGGAAGCCATTAATTCTTCTGTGTTAACAACTTGGAAGCCATTAATTCTTCTGTGTTAACAACTTGGAAGCCATTAATTCTTCTGTGTTAACAACTTGGAAGCCATTAATTCTTCTGTGTTAACAACTTGGAAGCCATTAGTTCTTCTGTGTTAACAACTTGGAAGCCATTAATGCTTCTGTGTTAACAACTTGGAAGCCATTAATTCTTCTGTGTTAACAACTTGGAAGCCATTAATTCTTCTGTGTTAACAACTTGGAAGCCATTAATTCTTCTGTGTTAACAACTTGGAAGCCATTAATTCTTCTGTGTTAACAACTGGAAAGCCATTAATTCTTCTGTGTTAACAACTTGGAAGCCATTAATTCTTTTGTATAAGTGACTGAGAAGCCAAGAATTCTTCTGTATAAGTGACTGAGAAGCCAAGAATTCTTCTGTATAAGCGACTGAGAAGCCAAGAATTCTTCTGTATAAATGACTGAGAAGCCAAGAATTCTTCTGTATAAATGACTGAGAAGCCAAGAATTCTTCTGTATAAATGACTGAGAAGCCAAGAATTCTTCTGTATAAATGACTGAGAAGCCAAGAATTCTTCTGTATAAATGACTGAGAAGCCAAGAATTCTTCTGTATAAATGACTGAGAAGCCAAGAATTCTTCTGTATAAATGACTGAGAAGCCAAGAATTCTTCTGTATAAATGACTGAGAAGCCAAGAATTCTTCTGTATAAGCGACTGAGAAGCCAAGAATTCTTCTGCATAAGCGACTGAGAAGCCAAGAATTCTTCTGTATTAGCGACAGCACAAAAGGTAGCTGCAAGAACACTTATGCTGGAAAAGAGACTTTTGAACACCATTTATAAATGAACGCTGATAGAAGAGACAATGTTCAATGAAATAATGCATGTGTGTGTGTTGAAGTAGGTGTATCAGAGGAAGAGAAGGACATGTGTATAGTCAGTGTGCCATAAGAATGGTCAGCATCTACACCTAGAGACGTTTGCTGTGGGAGACTGTGCATCTGTGGGGATTCCCAGTGTGCTGTGATGTTGATTCTTCAATTAGTAATTCATACACTTTCATCCTCTCTTTGTTTGCTTCTCCTTCTCTGTTCTCTCCCTCCCTGCCCAAAACACAATCATAAATTCAGTTTGTTCCGTTTATTCAGTTTGTTCTGTTTATTCAGTTTGTTCTGTATATTCAGTTTGTTCCATTTATTCATTTTGTTTATTTATTCAGTTTGTTCTGTTTGTTCTGTTTATTCAGTTTGTTCCGTTTGTTCTGTTTATTAAGTTTTTTCCATTTATTCAGTTTGTTCCGTTTATTCAGTTTGTTTCGTTTATTCAGTTTGTTGTATTTATTCAGTTTGTTCTGTTTATTCAGTTTTTCCTGTTTATTCAGTTTGTTCTGTTTATTCAGTTTGTTTCATTTATTCAGTTTGTTCCGTTTATTCAGTTTACTACTTCATTATTAAACGGTGTACCTCTGCAGTAATGCACCTGACGAGATACAGCGAAATATGCCTGGCAATAAATTATGCAATGTGTTGTTGGGTCTGCATTTTCTAATTTCACTGTGAGAAAAACATTGTTTTGAACATGTAGTGTTCTCAGACCACTTTAAAACATTTTTTTTTCTCAACAGCCTCATCGGAAAACCAGTTCATGTGGAAATCAGTCAGGAGAAAAAGGCGGCAGAAACAATACACAAAGTCAAGGTCACACTGGGAAAGCTGGAGGTTGTCGAATGTTTGTTTGACCGATTCACGGGCACCAGTAACTTTTCCAAAACGGCACTACCAAAATTACCCCAGTACTCAGAGGTCAGTTGTTTGTTTTATCCTTAAACTAAACAAAAAGTTATCTAATGGCGCTTTATTACTCAAAAAAAAAAAAAAAAACTTCAAGGAAACAAATTTTTTTCTATTATTTTTTGATATTCAGAATCTTTGTAATTTAATGAGTACAGTTATTCATATGGCACACAAGAGTACCTTTTCAGTTGACAGTTCTTATGCATCTAGGTCATCGATAGTATGGGCTTTCTTTTCAACTAATAAAAACATGCCATAGAATAAATGTGCGTTTCTTTGGGGGGTTTTTCCCATTTTTGTTAAAAACAGGAAAGTGCTGTTGGATAGCTATGTGTTGTCTCTGTTTTGAACAGTAAATTATCTCTAATATCTTCTTTCTTTTACCTTATCCTAGACATCTCTGTTTGTATTATTTTATCTTCAAAACTCAAAACTTTTTTTCTTTCCAGCGACGCATCAGGTGTATGCTGCTTGACTCGTAATGTTATAGACCTGAGGGGGGGGGGGGGGGGGGGGGGGGTGGGGGGGGGGGGGGGGGGGGGGGGGGGGGGGGGGGGGGGGGGGTTCAAGCAGGTTTGAAATTGAGTCAATTTTCATTGGTAATAAATCTGTAGTAACAACATTTTCATTTTAATTATAAAGATTTTAAACACTATTTATAAAACACAACAAAAATATCAAGGACGTTTGTGTTTTTAATTGCATTTAATAGATTTACCTGCTGTTTTTAATCACATTTCTTTTGGGAGTGGGGGGGGGGGGGTGTGTGGTGGAGGTCTTGCCACATATTCAGAGGAGACGCCACCTGATGAAGGTTGAAAACCACTGGTGTAGACCCATTGACTTTGGTGGGTGATGTGGTTACAATCACACCAGTTGTCTTTACTTGGTACCGATTTTAGGCTGGATAACCTGGGGAGCTATGATAAGTTTTTTTGTTTTTAAAGTCTAGCTCTGCGTCAATAGGGCAATTGAGGCAGCTGCATAGGGGGGCAGATTTCGAGGGTGGATAAATTTAGCTAGTAGTAAATGAAAATGTTTAGATAGTTGATGACTGCACAAGGACATCATACATCCTAAATATGAGCCTGGAGACTGGCCTTTGGAGATAGATGCTGTATAGGGCCATGATGTAATGAAGTGAAGACAAAATAAACATGGTATGAACACAACAGTTGATTTCCATTCTAGAATATAGCATGAACAAAGAAATGACTTTCCATTCTAGAATATACCATGAATACAGAAGTTTACTTTCCATTCTAGAATATAGCATGAACAAAGAAGTTGACTTTCCATTCTAGAATATACCATGAACACAGAAGTTGACTTTCCATTCTAGAATATAGCATGAACACAGAAGTTGACTTTCCATTCTAGAATATACCATGAACACAGAAGTTGACTTTCCATTCTAGAATATAGCATGAACACAGAAGTTGACTTTCCATTCTAGAATACAGTATGAACACAGAAGTTGACTTTCCATTCTAGAATACAGTATGAACACAGAAGTTGACTTTCCTTTCTAGAATACGGTATGAACACAGAAGTTGACTTTCCATTCTAGAATATAGCATGAACAAAGAAGTTGACTTTCCATTCTAGAATACAGTATGAACACAGAAGTTGACTTTCCATTCTAGAATACAGTATGAACACAGAAGTTGACTTTCCATTCTAGAATATAGCATGAACAAAGAAGTTGACTTTCCATTCTAGAATATACCATGAACACAGAAGTTGACTTTCCATTCTAGAATACAGTATGAACACAACAGTTGATTTCCATTCTAGAATATACCATGAACACAGAAGTTGACTTTCCATTCTAGAATATAGTATGAACACAGAAGTTGACTTTCCATTATAGAATACAGTATGAACACAGAAGTTGACTTTCCATTATAGAATACAAGATGAACACAAAAGTTGACTGTCCATTATAGAATACAACATAACAAAAATTGACTTTCCATTATAGAATACAAGATGAACACAAAAGTTGACTGTCCATTATAGAATACAACATAACAAAAGTTGACTTTCCATTATAGAATACAAGATGAACACAAAAGTTGACTGTCCATTATAGAATACAACATAACAAAAGTTGACTTTCCATTATAGAATACAAGATGAACACAAAAGTTGACTGTCCATTATAGAATACAACATAACAAAAGTTGACTTTCCATTATAGAATACAAGATGAACACAAAAGTTGACTGTCCATTATAGAATACAACATAACAAAAGTTGACTTTCCATTATAGAATACAAGATGAACACAAAAGTTGACTGTCCATTATAGAATACAACTAACAAAAGTTGACTTTCCATTTTAGAATACAAGATGAACACAAAAGTTGACTGTCCATTATAGAATACAACATAACAAAAGTTGACTGTCCATTATAGAATACAAGATGAACACAAAAGTTGACTGTCCATTATAGAATACACCATGAAGACACATGTTGACTTTCCATTATAGAATACACCATGAAGACACATGTTGACTGTCCATTATAGAATACAAGATGAACACAAAAGTTGACTGTCCATTATAGAATACACCATGAAGACACATGTTGACTTTCCATTATAGAATACACCATGAAGACACATGTTGACTGTCCTTTATAGAATACACCATGAAGACACAAATGTTGACTTTCCATTATAGAATACAACATAAAGACACAAATTGACTTTATAGAAGACAACATGACAAAAGCTCTTTCCATTAAAGAAGAAATACTACAACAGTACATTTTCAAACTTTTATTATTAAGTCTACATAATGTGGCCAAAACTATTTTTCTGGAAAATGTTTACATACATTATTATCTACCTAAATAGAATGTGCCGTTTGCTGTGAACTTCCATGTTTGCAACTATACAAGCAGTGCAGTCGACCACTTTGTCCTCTTTTTGTTTTCTTCTTCTTCTTCTTCTTCTTCTTCAACCACCACGTTTACCCTTAAAAGGGCATTGGTACACCAATCACTTAATGTCCTAGAACTGTTGGGGTCCTTTTGTCACTTAGTATGTCTCTTTCTTTTCATGTCTCACTCTCTTTTTTTTTTAATCTGTCTGTTTCTCACACTTTCTTTTTTATATATTATGAAAATCTCTCCCTCTCTCTCTCTCTCTCTCTCTCTCTCTCTCTCTCTCTCTCTCTCTCTCTCTCTCTCTCTCTCTCTCTCTCTCTCTCTCTCTCTCTCTCTCTCTCTCTCTCTCTCTCTCTCTCTCTCTGTGCTTATTTCTTTCTGTCTTTCTTTCTTTTTCTTACAATGAGATTTAAAATAAAGTAAATGTGACATTGTACACTAATTGTAAGAAGGAAGAAAAGATATAAGGAAAGAGAAAGAAATGAGAACAGGAAGAGGTATGCGGAAGATAAGACAAAGCGTTTTGCCACTTATTTCATTAATTAGTTCTAGAGCAAGTGGCTCGGAGATTAGGATACCAGTCAGTCAGAAGACCAGAGCACTAAATCCCGTAGTTTTGTAGATATCTAAACCAGCAGTAAAAAATATATATATATATATATATATATATAAATAGGAAGTCAAGGCGGCCAGCGTAATATTGACCACGCCACCCGTGTAGCTCTGATTGGTCTATAAGATATGAGTCTAGCACATTTTACATTAGCACCTTTCAGTCTCTCACAGTTTCTTCTTCTTCTTCTTCGCGTTCACCAGCTGTAAACTCTGGCGGAAGGTTCTGGTTGCTCGTCCACTACTGAACTGCAGTCCTGCTCCAGAACCTGAGTGTTGCGTGTGCATCAGTTTTACAGATCTCATTCTCTTGAATACAGACTGCCTCTCTGGCAGATGCACTCCGACTTCAAAGGAAGCTCCCCAATTAGTCGACTCTTACGACATGCTTTTGGGGAGGCAGTGGGTCTATTCTTGTTTTCCCCACAATGGGGCCCCGGAACCCACACGGGGGTCTCACAGTTTCAATTTATGCAGGCAGTCGGGCTGTGGGGCAGGGTTATTCCACCTGACAGCCCACAGGCTGAGCCTGACCTGCAGAAGGACTGGCGTGTGGCATTTTTTTCTTGATAACTACGATAAAGATTCTTTGGGGGAAAAGAATGGATGGAAGAAAGAAAAAAAGGAAGAATGTAACAAAAAAGAGGAAAAGAAGGGAAGCAAAGAAAGAAAGAAAGAAAGAAATTGATTGAGAGAGACACACACAAACACCAAAATTAATTTATATATCTGTGATAATTATTGCACAATGCACACATAACATACATATGGTTAACAATGCAGGAAAACCTGGCAGCCACCTCAAACACAGAAGGACAAGGCATTATAATTAAATTTTGAAAATCGTATTCATAAAAGTTCAATAAGTATTTTAATTATTAACAAAATTAAACAATACATATCCCTCTGTGGCTTCTGGGGGTGAGGGAGGAGGGGGTGAGGATAGCTCCCCCCCTCCAAAAGCATGCCGTTGAGTTGAATTGAGTTAAGAATTGACATCCATCCCCATCCTGAGCAGCCAGCGCTGAGTTCTAATACTACTGGTGCCAGTCGTAGTTTGGTTGTATGTCCATCTTGTTTTTCCACTGAGTGTAATGTGCCTGGCCAGACCCTTTTGTCACACCCAGGTGCATCATTCTCAACAGAATGATGCTTCTTCTTCTTCTGCGTTCATCCGAAGATGAAATTGCGTTGTGTCCGTTTACAGCGTGGCTGCGATATTTGCACCTCTTGACCAACACATCTGACTTCTGCGGGCATTTGTTGACCGGGTTAGCCTTCCCAGTACAGAATGATGCTGATGCCAGTCTATTCAATTGTACGTGGTGTCAGCTGTTCAAATAAAATAATGATAAATGAGCATGAATAAATGATATCGGCCAGGCCTCCATAGTGAATCGGTTGAGCTGTTTCTCTCATGTTCTGATGTTCAGCTTCACATTCTCTCGTTTTGTTTGTGAATGCAGGATATCCATGGGGATCATTGTTAGAGCTGCAGAG